GGCTTGGTAGCTCGCACTCCGTCATCCTTTAGACATGGTTCACGCGTTCTAGGCAACTGAGCTTTGTTATCGTTGTCCAAATGGTAACTGCTGCCTCATTGGCCTCCTCCGCGGCATGCCCCTCTCGGCGACCGTTTGCCGTTTGCATGCTCAAAATAGCTGAGCTGTTTTAGCGGCCTGGCTTCCCTTCCAACCGGATAAAATATCCAGTAGCTGGAGTTCTTTATAAATGCACAAGCTGCAGTTATGACTGCTTGATGGCATGCCGCCTTAGAGCACACGGGAAAAAACCTCGTCAGGCGGTCAGTACGTCCTACAGGGAGGGTCGCCCCGTTGCACTGTACCATGGAGCGTTCGTATACCAGCCACCCCTCCAGTAGCATGGGTGCTTCGCCAGTAATGGGTGGTTGTGGTCATGGCTTGGTCAACCAGACAAAATACACGCACCTACCTAGTGCTCCCAGGAGTGGACACACGGAATGAGTGATATACATACATGTGCAATGATATTCCTAGCCCTCTACTAACACCCTACAAGACTGGCGCCCAAAAGCTTCTTTCGCCACGCACCACTTGTTGAGCAAATCTGATAGCAGTGCTTCGAGGACCGGCGACCACTTCCCTTACACTCACACTCTTCTGAACTATAGTACCGACGTAGAATATTCCAAATAAACTTGAACATCATCTTGGGAGTCCACTCCCATAAGTCGTAATACAGTTGAGTTCCAATACAACACCACCTCTCGGCGTGCCTATACCGGTTCGCACTAGACTTGTACTTTAACAACACATATCGGCAAACTCAACCCCTGCTTCACCATCAGTCTACTGAGTGTAAGTCCATTCGTAACGTGTCCCATTTACTCACTTATTGTCACTTGTCGTGGTCAATTTTGAGCCTTTTCTCCATTATTGCACATAATTTTGTTTGATGCTTTGTCAAACTGACCGGGTTTTACTTACATCATCCCATTCCATCGTCTTTCCAAGCATCGGCACTCGGCAATACCCGGTTTGGACGCCCTGTTTTGCTGTTATCCACTCCTTGGCCTGTGATTTGCAGCCACAGAGATCTCCGATAGGACAAAATATATCTGCGGTCTTACATCGGTTTTGTTTTACCTCTGTAGATCTTCTTGGCCAACCTAAAAAAATCTCGCCACTCCAATATTGAACATTCCTACCCAAAGAACTTAACTATGAAATCCGTTACGGGGCTATGTATCGAAATGTGCTGGGCCATTGATGGCACGGCTCTGTTATACCCAGTTTGATAGCACTGGGCCATTGTGGCAACGGCTCTGTTATACCCAGTTTGATAGCACACCCGCAACTATATCCTCCCTTCCCTTGACCGTACTCCCTCGTCTACTAGTTCAATTGACGGCGAATGCGAGAAGAAGCCTCACCCGCCCACAGCCGATACCAGAACGCGTTCATTCCATTCCACCTAAACTTCCCTTTGGATTTGATCATTTTGGTGGACTTTCAGTCTTGCTGTCCACAAAGTCAATATTTTTCTGCACAGACCGCGTTCCGTCCTGTGCTGTCACCAAATAATTCTTCCACGGAACTTTTACACCCAACCTTACAACAAGAGCGACGCCAGTGAGTTGCCACAGTCTCACTGTACACCATGATTCTGAGCTTCCTGCTTCCACTTATCCCCATTGCCAATCTCTCCGCTTCGTCATCCCCACCTACGCATTTCGTGACCCTGGCCATAAACCAAACTGTCCAAGGCCACGAGGCCACAAGGGTGGTTGCGGGTTTCAGTTCAAATAGGCCGGCTGGGCTACGCCAAATCTGTTGCTTCACCAGATCTGTTGTTCTGGTTACTCATTTTCCGCAATTTACAGTTTTATTGTCATGTGTTCACCACCTTCAAATTATAACGTCCACCTCAGACAACACCATCTGTATATGACATTATCCCTTTCCCGCTCAATCCCCTTCACCCACAAACCTCTCATGATGATCATACCTGGCAGTATGCCACCCACCAGTCGGAACTAAACATTGTTATTAATAGTGATGGTGATTTGCAATAGGAAGAGCCGATCCTTGAATGAGACTAGTTCAAGCTAAAAAAAGACAAAATATCGAGAGCAGATGAAGATGATGGCCATCCGGATGAACCTAAGGGATACATGACTGGTGCCCCCAGTGGACTCCGTTTCCTTGCCTGGGAATGGACTAGCCGGCCTGGTCCAAAGTGCTTCGCTGCGTCAAGTTGAGTGGAATTTCTCCGATGGTTCCTCGAATTGGCTTCATCAGTTTTTGTGTACCCCTTAGGTGAATGTGGGCGTGGGGCTATCTAACAGTGTGTAGTGCGTGGCAAGACACCCGCGGTATTGCGGCCCCCCGTTGGGTGGTCAGTTGAGTCTCATGCAAAGCTAAAGCTGTAGGTCACAAAGAACTTACCGAGTTACCTAAGGAGTGGTTCGGGTACTCTCATCTCGATATTTAGGCTTTGATGCAGGGAATGAGAGCGGACCGACTTAATGCGAATAAAGATATTAAGGGATTCAAACGTTTGACTGCAAACATGCAGAGCGGTTGGGCGATTCCTGGGCTGCTCGGCAGTCATTAAGTGCCCAGTGCTCGCACAGTGGAAGTGAATTTTCGGAAGCTATCATGTCTCCCTGATGGACTAAAACAAGAGGACAACTGAGATCAGAATATCTGTCTAAACTTTTGAGCCTCATCTAGGTATACCAGGGTCCCAGTGATGATAGCATTTTCCGATGGGGTATTATTGCTTCAGTGGACGATGAAACTTGATGATTTGCAACAATATGACCGTATATTAGAAGGGCTTTGGCTTTAGCATATACGCAAGAAATTTCAAGAGTTGGGCGTAGAATCTTTTATTCCACTCGCGGAGGCTGCACAGCCAGGAGTATTGTGCGGCCAGGGAGCCCTGGCCGATGTAAACCACCACACGAGTGTGGTGCATATGGCAGAGGAACTATTGCGGTATATTAGGCCGAAATGAGGTGATCTCGCAGACAGCCGCGGCGCCATATCTGGGGCTGTGACGGTGCTATTAGGTTTTACAACAGTGGGAGTATTGGGCTTCGAAGTTTGTATAAATGCCTGCTTTAAGCGGTGTGTCGGACACAACCTTGGTCCGATCTAGGAGGAAAAATCATGTAAGGAAGGTTACTTTTTCACCAAACCTCTCCTTCGG